ACACACACACAACATGCGCGCGCGCGCACACACACACAACACACACGCGCGCGCGCATAACACACACACACACACACACACACACACACACGCATACACAAATACAAACACATCCACACACACGCGCGCACGCGCATACACACACTAACTAAAAAAATAAGATAGCTTGTAAGAGTATTATTAGAGGTCAGCCTGAACGTTGTAATTATAATTTATAAGCTGTTAACACCCTCAAGTGGGCCTACCTTTCCGCCGGGAAACAGCATCATCGACAAATGATGGTCCCAACTTGGGACTCCCAAGGAAATAACACTATGACATCGATTATCAAATTAAGCACAGGTTTTATATGGATTGAATTTCGACAGTTAATTTTTCGACTTTTTGATGAAAGTGGTCCAGCTTGTAGGCTACATCACTTATTTTTTTTGAGGTGGCATCATACGGAATAATAACATAACCTTGCAACTTCGCGTCAGTGGGCTGGAGGGATTTAGGCTACTTGTGTAACGAACATGCGCGTGGTATTCCAGTCTGTGGACACGTTCAGACTAGACGTCTCTGATTAGTCAAAAATATCCGCGATTACAGTGAGGGTTCATTAATATTTATAAAATTACCATATCAGACACATCTTGGATACATATTAACCCCCCCCCCCCCCACAATCATTTGCAAGAAAATGATAGAGGGCGACCCCCCTATAACCTCCCTTATCATTTGCAAGATGTTTCTTCTTCTTTTTCTTTTTCTTCTTTTTTCTTTTCTTTTTTTCTTTTCCTTTTCTTTTTTTTAATCTTTTTTTCTTCTTCTTTCCCTTTTCTTGCAAATGATAGGGGGCGACCGCCCCCCTGCCCCCCTCTGGCGCCGCCCCTGGGTGTATGATGAATAATGCCACAGTTTATTTGCGGATTGCGGGTAGTATATATAACTTATATAATAGTTTACAATAATTTCAAATACGCGATTTTTACGTTTTATTTACCCGTGTTTGACCGTGCACACGTAAAAGTTTATCAGCACGGAGTGTATGTGTGGTGGCCTTATGTTAGTCGTGGGGTGGTGCGGGGCAGGGCACATAAATACATTACATACTCTCTCTCTCTCTCTCTCTCTCTCTCTCTCTCTCTCTCTCTCTCTCTCTCTCTCTCTCTCTCTCTCTCTCTCTCTCTCTCTCTCTCTCTTTCTTTCTATATATATATATATATAAGATTATACATTGATTTTACAAAATTTTCGATTTCGTGGGTCTAATTGCAAGTAGTCGCACGCATGAAACAAATAAAAATCGCGCGGCCGCGTTTGTAAACCAGCACACACGCATGCAGAGACCACTATCTATGTGACCCGCGAATTTTCGTGGCTCAACATGTTTTATACACGCGATTGGTCACAAGAGCTACACTTGCTGTTTAATCACTCTGGCTTTACCTAAACATCTTGCTGCTTATGGAAAAACAACGTCTTCGAACCAGTTATTTTATGGACATTTTATTGCCGACTCTCTGGCTGTGTATTATTTGCCTAAAGTGCAATGAGGGATTACTATATATATACAGGCCGCTTGGGAAACCAGGATTGTCCCCGTTTCACGACCCCGAGACACATAGGCCTACACCTACACTCGCGCACGCAGGCACACGCGCAAGCATGGCAGGCATCATATCAGGGCATTCCTCTTTGCCCATTTCTAGGTTTTTATAACGAATTTCTATATATAAGTAAATCTTTATCAGAAAAACTAGCCCTAAAAAAATAAGAATAATTTTTTTTAGGGTACTTTGAAATTAAAGGGGGGGGTCTGGACCCCCCGGACCTCAGCCCCCCTAGATCAGCCCCTGGGCATCAACACGCACGCACTCACGTGCGTGCGCATACACACCCACGCGCGCGCGCAGGCGCCAGTTTCTACTCACTCGGCGAGTACGTCATGCTGATGCTATGACGGCGGACAGATCGGCGTGCATCATAGAACTATCTGGTTATCGAGATCGTCCAGTATTTGGGGGAGGGGCTTACGGCTAGATGAAAGGGAGTATTGCGTTGGATCAAGATATCTCTAAATCTAGATCAAGATATCTCTGATCAAGATAATCGTGCTGCCCGAGTGCACCTTGTATGCGTCCAGGTCCCAGTCTATTGCGTTTCGAGTCTTTTAACTAGATTCTTTAGTGTTCTCGCTAGTCTCTGTAGCGATGACAACAGAGCAAGGCCACAAGGGTTGACGTCATCTGACCCTGTCACAAAACAGTCTGAATATAAATATAAGAAGTGTATGGGCTGACGATTGTATAATACAGATGTCGACTATCGTTGATCTATAAATTGTGTCACGATGCTAATATTCAAACTTCTTCGGGGCCTCATTTTAATGCTGTGCACGCAGTCTAAATTTTCGTTCAGCGCGGCCGAATATTTTCGAAAAAAACGCAGAAATTTCCCACCTTAATTTGTTCGCATAATTTTTGACGGCCGCGTTCTTGTGTTTTTTTGTTCTATTACGTGAAAAGGGTCAGTGCGAGAGTGGCGCATAGGCCTGTCGCTAATTTTAGCCATAATGCACTCTGTAAATAATGTAGGCTACTCTGCGCGCCTGAATATATCTTCTGAAATTATCTTATTAGTGCCTCGTTAATCGGATGTCGCGGCAGATCTTTGAACGTCTAGGGAGAATGATGGCGCGGAGAGCAAGACTAATTAGTGTGTAGTACACTTAGTCTTACTCTATCCTAATTCTAAGCTCGCCACGCAGCAAGCTACTATAAGCTCTATACCTACTCTCGTCCCAGTCGTCCGCTTTTGTTGCTTCTTAGCTCGATGCGATGTGCGTACGTGAGTGCGTGGGCGCTGCATGCAGCGACATGTGTCTGTATCTATCTATCTATCTATCTATCTATCTATCTATCTATCTATCTATCTATCTATCTAT